TAAAAAAATATAAATAAATATAAAATATAAAAAATTAAAAATATATATAAAATGATAATTTTCTTTAATCTATTCTTTAATATAAATTTAAATTACATTTCTTTATCCAAGTACTTATTAATTATTTACTAAAAATAAAAATTATATTACTATAAATTATTTAATTGAAAAGAAAATTAATCAAAACAATGAAAATAATAATTTTTAAGTAATTTGCAGCAGATCAATGAATTTTTTAATGAAATTAAAATTTATCATTATAGAAATAAATTTCATTCATTATTAGAAGCCATAAATGGAAAAAAAATTTTTTCTCCTTTATCCCTTATTTTATTCTATTCTTATAAACATATTAATTCCAAAGAAAATTTTGCAAATCTTATATTCTAATTTCAACATTTATACAACACATTCATTTTCTTACCTTTCCTCTTAAACTTTTATCATTTTCTCTATATTCTTTAATTAAACAAACCTTCTAAGTGCATCCAGTTCGATTAGAATCAGAAAACCAAAGAAAATTCCTCCTCCCTCTTCGTCATATTTTTCCTCCATTATATCAATACAGAGAATAGATAACGTGTGCTAAAGGCAAGGATTATATAGAATCAACGAAAATTCGCAAGAGGTGGTGCGGCAGGAGATAGAACACGCGTGCATATCCGATGAGAGGAGCGCTTTCACGAAATGGTAAAATACGAAAATTGGCTGGCATTTCGAGAACAGAATTATTGAATATACACGTATAGGAAAATCTTGGCTAGTGATGGAATGAAATCTGTCGCAAATATATTTAATCGTTTACAGACAAATTTAAACATCTTTTATGAGTATTTCGAAAAAAGAAATGATATTTTCAAGTAAACTCAAATCTAAGTTGAATGAATCTCAATGAATGAATTTCAGAAATAAACTAAACATTCAGATATACTGATTTTAAATTTGAAAAATAGTTTTTAAAAAATTTGAAAATATTATTTTATTTATAATAATAGTTTTTTATTTGATATAAAAAAAGTATAAGATATATTAATAAATTAAAAAAGAAAAGAAAAACATATACAATATTAATCATTTATGAAATTTTATCAAAAATAGAAAATGTTCTAAGATTTTTGAGTGAACATATATTTCAATCTTTAATTTAAATCTTATATTTACAAAAATAAGAATACTTATAAAAATGGAAGAAATAAAGTTAAATAAAGTCAAATATTGGTTGGTTATGTTAAAAATTTAACTATTTTTTATTCTAGAAATTTTTTATTTATTAAAATTAATCTTTGACTGTTTTTGAAAGTAATTTTAGCATATTGTAATTTTTATGTATAACTTAATTTATCCTAACAAATGACTAAATATCTGTCTTATGAAATAATATTATGTTTTTTTAATTTTTTAGAAATATTATAATATATTTTTATATTTTTAATGAGATTATATTATTTTTAAAAATTAAAATAAATTTGTATTTTATACAATATTTTTTAATTTGTTGTAAAAATTCAATGAAATATTTTTTTAATCTCATAACTTCTTTTCGGTTAATAATAGATTTGCAAATAATTAGCTCTAATATTATTCAACAAGTAATTATTTCCAATAACTACTCCTTATACGCATATATGTTTTATCATTCTTTGATAATACCTTCCTTTCTATATTAGTTATTATTTAAATGAATTTAATATTTACGAATAAATAAATACATAAATAAATAATTATTTTATATATTTTAATAATATATAATATTATTTATTTATATGTTATCAATATATTATTTATAATATCGATACTATCGATATTATCGATTTATAAGTACTCATTCTGAGATTCGAAATTTGTCTATAAAAACTTATATGACATATTATAAAAAATTAAATTCATTTCAGAAAAACATTAAAAAAATAAATAATTTATATACAATTTAATGTGAAACATAATTGTTATTTATAGATCAGTCAGTTTATATTTTAAAATAGTTATATATTTTAATAAATTGAAAATTCTTTAGTATATAATAGTAAATGATATCTAATTATTTATTTTTAAATAATAATTATTTTTAAAATAGTACAAATCTATTCTTCAAAATTTAATAAAATAAAATTTGATAAACTAAGTATAAGGAATAAAATTTTAGAATTAAAAAACATTCTAATTTATATGAATTATATGATTTAAAAAAATATAAATATAAATTTGAAATAATCATGAATCATATTTCATTTATATTTCATTATTATTTATAATTGCATTAAGTTCAAAAATTTATTTATAATTCATTATTTAAATTAATTATATTTTAGTTTTGTTCATATATGACTTATTACGTATCATTTAAATATTATATTAGTTGATTCATATATATTAACACTAATAAATAAATAATTGAATTAAACAAGAATACTTTGTTTCTTGTTCTTATTTAAAAATAAAGCGAGAATACTTTGTTTAATCTTTTTTCATAAAAATTATTTATAAATATAAATAATTCTTATAAATATTACATAATATAAATGGAATAAATAGTAATAGATATTATATTCTTCAATTTTTTTCATCATTCTTTATAAAATATTATTTAATAATTACAAACATTAAACAAAAATTCCAAGTAAGATAACTCTCTCTTGTATATCAATTAAAATACAAAAGAAAATCATTTACATAATTACAGTATAGGAATTTTTCTATGTAATTATAAATTAAGGAATTACTAATAATTAAATATTAATAGATGCAAAAATTAATAAAAAACTCATTTTCCAATTCATCTTTAGCATTTCTCTTATATATTCCTTAATTTACATATACTTAAATTCATTAAAGAAATTTATAAAAAAGTGAATAAATTTAGAATGATTTATTAATATTTTTAAATTAATTAAAATGCAAATTTTTAAATACTTTGACATAACAAATTGATAAATGAATTTATTACTTTTCTTCTAATAGTATAGTCTATTTCTTTAAATAGTATTTATGATATAATCTTTTACAATGAATTTAAGATAAATATTTACAAATATTTACATCCTCCAATTTCAACGATTTTCTAATATATTATTAAAATTATTACATTGAATAATGTTATAAAAGTTTTGATGTTATTTATTAAAAATATATTTATTAAGAAAAACAATTTAAATTAGATTAGATTAGGCTCTTGTTTATTAAACAATTATTAATATGTATATATTATAACAATATAAACTATGAAAATTAAATAAATTTGATATTATATTAATTAATTGTTATTAATATATAAATATTAATAATTTGATATAATATTAATTATTTTATATTAATTTTAAAATTAATTTTAAAATTCAAAATAAAATTAAATAAAAAAACATTTAATTGTTAGTCAATTTAATGATTTGCATTAAATAATAATTGTAGATTTGGATTAATTTTTTTTAATTTGACCATCAGTTATCTGTAGGTATAAATCTAATTAAAATTAATTTATCCTATCTCAATTTATATCGTTTTTTTTGTTATTAATTTTTTAATAAACAACGATTGTTAAATAAAATCTTCACATTATTTAAATTAATGATTTTGATTGATAAACAATATTAAAAACAAAAAAATTATCAAAATCGAAAGATAATAGTTTTTTGTAAACAATTATCGAATTTGATTCAGATTTATTTGATTTGATTTAGATTTAATTAAGCCTTTATTGAACTTGATCCCATCACTAACGCCGGCCAATATTTCCGAAAACGTGTTAGCCCCGCTTGTGTATAACGATTTTGATGGAATTCGCGCGGACACCCCCAAAATCGCGGGAATTGTTGTAGCGCACTTTTATATTTACGAGTCACAGCTGTCCGATCGCGTCTACAATTTACTACGACCACGTCCCGCACACCTGCGTTTTTTAAATTATCTAACGACGGTCTGGCTTCCTATTACCGTGTATAACAAGAGTTCAATTCAATTGTATTCGACGTGAATGTCTGGAAATTATCCGATCGTTCGAATCGTTAAGTGTCTAATGCTATTGAAAGAATCGAATTGGGAAAGTCTGTTTTTGTGCTTTTGACAGCTCTAATCGCTATTTAATGGTTTGGTCGTTGATTGGTAAGATTGAAGCGATCAATCATTTTCTGTCAAAGCCAATAGTGAAAATGAAATATAGCAAACAATTTTTGATACATGAAAATTTATCATTGTATAATATAAATATTGAATTAAAAGATTAATATTAAAAGACAAAAACAGAAGACAAAGATAGAAAAATAAACAAACAGACAAAAATAGAAATGACAGAAAATTTTTATTATTGAAATAAAATATAGAAATGGATTTTGAATTGTATCTTCTGGATTTAATCTTTTGAGTTTTATTTTAGTTTTTAAATTTTAAATTCTTTTAAATTTAAAATTAAATTTTAAATTTAAGATATTGAATGTTTTGAATGTTTTATTATAGATTTTTAGTTTTGGATTCTAGATTTTAAATTTCAAGTAGATATTCTAAATTCTGGATTCTAGTTTTCTGTTTTGAATTTTGATTTTGAATTCTAATTATCGATTTTGAATTTTGGAATTTAAATTTCGGATTTTCTAGATTTTCTGAAATTTCGAAATTTCTGGATATCAGGTTTTGAATTATATTCATTATTTTTGAATAATAATTTTGAGTAATAGTTTTTAAGTTTCGGATTTTAGATTCTAGGTTTTGAATAGATTTTGAATTTTGAAATTTGCATTTTATTTGAGTTTTAAATTTTAAATATTAAATGAGTACATTAGAATATTTCTTATTTTTTTTTTATAATGATTTTATACTATAAAATTATAGAATATTATAATGAAATTAATTATTTTTAACAAATAATAACTTTGTTATTTACATTATTTCTAATTTTTTAAAATGAAAAAAAAATCAAAGTTTCTTTCAAATGGATTTTATATTAATAAAATTTGTTTCTCAATTTTTAAAAATACGTTTATTTATATATTTTCTTTGTTTTATGATTGCAGATGAAGTAGATGTAATCGGTTATACGAGCAATCAATCGGACACCGATGATCACAGCAGCGTGCAAAGCAGCAGCGACAGTGGCGTCACAATGTCCACCTCCAGGCTGACCCTTTCCGAAATAATGGACAATCTTTAGGTATACAATATATCATTTATTTTTTATTTATTTGGAATTTTTCAATATTTTGATTCCTTGATTTAAAATAACATCTTTAAAATGTCATTCAATTTTTTAAGTTTTTTGTAGCAAATTTTATTGTATTCTAAGAAACCTTTAATAAAATGAATATTTTTATCATTTTATAGTTATAACTTTGAGTATTTGAACTTTTATATAAAATTAAATAATATTTCTTAGTTTTATATGTTTTGATTAAATTATGAAGTAGGAAAAATAATATTAAAACTATTAAAGAAATAAATTTTTATTTAATTGATAATTTTTTATAATTGATAATAATTAGTTTTAAAAAAAAATTATTTGTTTAAATCAATAATTCCCAATCTGTGCATCAGAATCACAAAAAGATTGTCATAATTATATTTATTTATATAAATAATTTTATTAAAATTTTCAGCATTTACAAAAAATAAAAATGATTTTATTGCGATAAATACTAAAAAAAATATTAAAAAGCCATCATGATAATACATTATATATTATATATTTTATATTTCTTACGACGTTTTTAATATTTTGTTAATATTCTAATGCACCTTTAAAAATAAAATCATATTAATTTTACTATATCGAAAATACATGAGAAGATTCATTTATTTAATTATTACAAAAGAAAATCATGTCTCGAAAAACATTGAGAAATCTTGATTTAGATAAAAAAATAAAGGATCCATAACGCTAAAAAACGCTAACAGAAAATCAGAATATCTCTTGCAAAAGAAAAAAGAAAAAAAAAATAAAATAGCATGAAACGAGTAGGTTAATCTTCCGCTCATGTTCAAAAATAATTAAAATCGGCTCATTAAACTACTTTAGAAAACTTTACCAACATTTCGTCACTCACACTAAATACCTCAATCCATATTTCTTAAATATTCCACTCCATGCAAAAAAAACCTTGCACCGGTTTTTAAAACTATATATTGGCCCGCATTCAAAACACTCTGTCAAGGGTTTAAATGCCCTTTCAACTCGTGTTTTTAGCACCAATTATATTCAGAATGCGGCTGGTAATAATGTGCCGGTAGCCAAACCGTTCCTCCTTTTTTCTTCTTTCTCTTTCTTTCTTTCCTCTTCTCTTTTCTTTTCTTCTCTCTTTCTTTCTCTCTCTCTCTCTTTCTCTTCTTTTCTCACTTTTGTAGGCCAACGTATCAAAGTCACGTTCTAAATTTAATAGCGTTAAAAGCTCGAGTTGAAAGAGCATCCTTAACAACACCTTCTGAATACGAGCCATTTTGCAAACGCATGTACAACGTGGATCGTAAATGTTCGAAATTTCTATTTTTACATTTTTATTTTTCTCTGTTGATGGAAACGTTCGGATAATAATCGTGAACCATATTGATATACCATACGCTTTTTATGAATTTCGAAATAATTATGTTTCTATACGAATTACTTTATATTCGATGTTTTTAATGACTTTATTGAGTTGTTCAAAAAGTTTTTTTTGTGTTTTTATTATATAAATCTGTATTCTTATAGAAATTTTAAAATGGATCACTAATATATTTCAATGATCGCCATTTATAATTTTATTAATTTATTTTTAATTTAAGTTAAAGTTCTATTTCTTAATTTATTTTTTTTTTTTTAATATTTTTAACTTGTTTGCAAAATGCTTAAGATAGCTTTTAATATTATTTAAAAAACTAATTTTTATGAAATCATCATTTTTCATTTTTACGAAAAATCATCAAATCATTTGATTATTCTATTTGTAAAAGTGTTTATAAGCCTATAAATTTGTAAACTTGTGTACTTTGAATAATATTTTATTTAATAATTATTATACAAATAAGTTTTGCAAAAATTTATATTTAACAAGAAAATACTCACGCTATTGGAAAGTTAAAAAAAATTAAATATTCCAATATCATTAAAAATAAATTAGATTGTATATTTTTCAAATTGAATTTTTAAAATTACATATGATAAATAATGAGAAATTTTAAAATCTAATATTAATCTAATATAAACAATATAATAACGAATCTGATTAACACTGTTTTTTTAATACTTTCTATAATAAAAATAGATATATTATATTATTTCATGGAATATTATTTTATAATAATTTCAACAAATATTTTTCATTTAAAAAGAAATTATGCGATGATTTATAATTATTTAATGTTTTATCTTAATATGTAATCATTTAATTACTTCATATTTCTTTTTTTAGTTTTTAAAAAATTATATAATTATTTGCTAATTGGATTATTTATTCTAGTAAATGAAAGATTTTTTGATTTCTTTTTTTTTTTTGATTTTTTGAAGAAATTTGAATAGAAATTTAATTTCTTCTTTGACCATGTTGAATTAATGTTGAATTAATGTTTATATAATTTTCTTAGTATTTTTGTAGCAAATATTTCTTTTTCTTTTCTAAAATTAAAACTATTCAAAAAAAGATATCTTAAAACTCATTAAAATAAGTAATGTGTAATGAGTAATTTAATGTGTAAATAAGTGTAAATAATGTATGAATAATTTAACGAAAGAATATGAATTATAAATTTTTTTTTAAATTTTATTTCAAAGTTTTCCATTAAGAAATGAAATGCTTATATTTAAGCATTACTATTATAAATCTATAATGAATTAGAAATATTATTATAAAATTAATCGAATTTTAATAAAATTAATAAATTAAAAGTTTATTTCAAAATTTTATATTTTTCTTATTTCAAATTAAGCAAAAAATAATTATAAATAAATTATAAATATATAAATTTAAAATATTTATAAAAATATATTTTTTTGGATATCTTATAATTAAATATCTATTATAATAAAAAATGTAAACAGAAGTTTTTAATTTATTCACAATTATATTATTTTACAAAATTATCAAATTATTATCATTTCATTTTAAATTTTATACTATCTTGTCCAAAATATTTTTTCAAAAATATTCTGTATATTTAATTATAGCAAATATATCTTATCGAATATTAATTACACAATTCTTGAAAAAAAGAATATTTTACACATAAAAGATAAGAAAAAAAAAGTATAACACACGCGATAAAAAAAATAAAAAGAAAGATAATCAAAAGCAAGTGGAAAATTAACTGCTCCGAAATTAAATATCATAAAAGAAAATGGTGGACATGCTCGCCTTAACGCCTTTTTTCCCGTGGTGCGTTCATAATCATCATAATTATATCTTATGATAAAGAACCAGATAAAAGAGTGAAAAGAGCGAGAGAAATATGTATAATATTTAGAGACAATATGTCGAGTAGTGTAAAAATAAAAACAATATATTACATAGTGCTATAAAAAAATATGTTTCTTCACAGAATATATTACATATTACATTTCTTTCTCGCGATGAAAAAAAATATATATTAAAAAAAGGCATTTTATTGAAGGTGAAATTTATAGTTTAACCTTTTCAACTTTACGTATAAATACATAAAACACTTTAATTAGTTATTAATAGTTATTAATAGATTGTGAATTTTTATATGAATATATTTATGTAAAATATATATAAAAATATGTAACAAATGAATTTTTTATAATAAAAAATCATTTATATAAAATATGCGAATATAATATATAAATATATAATATGTGAATATAATATATATGTGAATTTATTTATTTTATATACATAATATATAAATATATAAATAATTATAAATATAATATATAAATTTTTTCAAAACTTTTTAATTTATCAAACTTTTAAATTTTATCAGAACTTTTA